AACAACAACAACAACAACACACAACACAACAACAACAACAACAACAACAACAACAACAACAACAACAACAAACAACAACAACAACAACAACAACANACACAACACAACAACAACAACAACAACAACAACAACAACAACAACAACAACAACAACAGACAACAACAACAACAACAACAACAACAACAACAACAACAACAACAACAACAACAACAACAACAAATGCAACAGCCTCCACAGCCGCCACAATTACATTTTCAATATCACTGAGGGCGCTAAAGAGCCACCAAAGCACGACCTTGTGGCCAAGGCAGAGGGAATGGGCCGGCAGGACCTCAACAATCCGTTTCCTGTGACCAACCAATTCACCAGCGGGGGGACAGCAGGAAGAGAAGTAGGATCTCCGATGGTGTCAGTCTGTTTTCATCCTTGAATTTGTATTGTTCGATTTCCCGCATTGTAACATATGTTGTTTAACTTAAAAAATACATTGCACAGTGTTACGGGGCACTGCATGCGAAATGCTTCGCCGGACATATTGTACGATCATATTGATGCGGCAGTGTGTGTGGGCAAGATTTGTGAGTGAAGATGCAAATCGTGTATAGACGTAATTTTTAGCGAGACTGTAGCTTAAGACGCGAAAAGGAAAACTGTATGAGCATGCTACTGTAAATTATCATCGGACAAAAGATGTCGCACCTGTAACTGATCTTCTGGTGTGGATTGTGGAGGTAATATATGCTTTCGAAGAAGTACGGGATGAAACCTGGGCATCTGTGTGCGTATGCACCTTTGGACTTTGCATAGCTGCCTTTGACGATGACTGTCGGGCAATATCCCAAGCATGCTGAAGGTAGTGTAATGTTTCGAGTCCATCCCGATATCGCGTGCAACGTCTCCCGGACAGTCACGTGACGGTCCTGGGAAGCCTTGAAGTTGGGAAATGTCCAGGCGCAAGCGAATTGCGGCATTATTTACCAAGCGCCTTATTGTCTCGTAAAGCATCTGATCCATGGTACGAAGTCAAGGTGATATCGGACACTTTGCGAGAGATGTACACGGGCGCGAGGAATTCAGAACGTCGACTGCTACCGCTATCTTCAGAGGGTGGATAGCAGAAGCGCTCAAGCAGGCAACATTGCAACCGCGCAGACGAAAGAGGGAGTCGTTCCTTTCTGCCACATTGCATGCACGGCGTCGCTTCAGCTTTTTAATGAGGGAAAGGAGTGGAAAAGTCCAGCAAGTAGCTGGCGTGAGAAAAATAACCGGTATTTATTGCAGCCGAGGTGCCTTTTTGGTTCCTGTGTAGACTTCCTCTTGAAAAATATATCACTACTGCGTAGATACAAGAAAATATATCACTACTGCGTCGGTGACAAGAAAATATATCACTACTGCGTCGGTACAAGAAAATATATCACTACTGCGTCGATATATGAGGCAGTTGTCCAGCCAAAAAGAAAATAATGAAAGCTCACATCTCCTGCATAAGGGTGTCTGACTTTCTTGTGGTTTCTATGCTCCTTAGTTTTGCATGTGCATTCTCGTTGTCACACTTCGTTTATGTAGGAATCTGGAAGCATGCACGTAAGTCGACGACGCTCCACAATGCATTCAAAGACTTTGCAGTCACCCCTCCAAGTCTACACGCACACATTTCTTTTCCTTCTTCCTCGGCACCCCGTACGGCGTTTTTGCTCCTTATTCCTCTCCGCCATTTTTTCGCATATGCCATTTATCATGCCCCCGTCATCGGTCATCGCACACTCTTCGATCGTACTTCCCGGCGGGAGGCTAGCAGCCTGAAGGTAAATAGTCAAGCAAAGGATCCTTTACGGCAGGAGTGAAATCGTAGTACAAGAATATCACCATCATCGCTTCGTCCTTCGCCCTCGTGTGAGCCGTAGGACCTAGTGCTGCTGTCTTGGACGCTGACTGTGCACTGAAAGATGCAGTCCTTATAGACGCTCTGGCTTTCGCTGGCATCGAGACAGCATTAGCCATGAGTAGCTCACAATTGGCTAGTGTCGTGTTGGAGGCACTGTGCAGGTCAAGCGTGCGAGGAGGATACCGGGAAACGTATACTGTCAGGTCTTTCATGGGACCATGCCGCATGGTTAATGCAGAAGACAGGTTGGCCAATGTGGCGTCAGCAGGAAGGCAAAGGTCGAAAGAGGGCGATATGCTGGTAGGGACCTGGAGGAGGTTCATCTTAAGTAATAGAATGGGCACATTAAATTCAGGGGACATGGTTGGACGAGGGGGGACAATCTGAACTTGCGATGGCGAAATTGGAGCCTTTTCAGAGCTTGTTGTGGCTGCTGCTAAATGCTTTTTTGACCCTTTACGTCTTTTATTTTTCCCTGCATGTTTTTGGGATTTGGGTGGCATCTGCTTGGAACCCAATAATGCCTGCGCCGAACAGAACAGAAATTTAGCCCTGACCTGAAAAATTGCATAAATTGTAAAGATAAGTTAATTCAGGGACATGATGGATTCCTTCTCTTTTTCACGTTTTAAAAAATGAATTACGCAGGCAAGCCACCCAGAGCACTTGTCCTCCGGAGATTTACCCCTCAAAATATCAAAATAAGCCCACAGCAGAATTTTAACACGTGAAATAAAAATGACACCCTCGAAGCCCTGATATAAACGAAAAGAAAGAATTTACAACGGGAGGGAAAGGACGGAGAAACCCACCGTATTCAACCATCGCGTGAGAACTTTTCCGAGTCCCGCGCGTTGCGTCACGTCGGTCTGGGTTTGTCTTTTTTTTGGTATTTTGAGTGTTTGGGTTTTGGTTTTCCGTGGGCGCTGCCCTTCGCCGACTCGGACTCCGGGGGGGTGGGGGGAGCATCAAGTGCGCTTGACCTGAGTCGTAGGAAGTATACACGACATGACACCCGCCACGTAGCTGGTCCATACTTCTTCTCACATGTTTTCACCGCGCAATGGTTCATAGGTGTCGCCGGCCCTATTGCTGTGGACGTGATTACGAGCGTCGGGTGCGTAGAAGGCCCCGGGTTCATCATAGCCCACACCTGCTTCGGCCCCCCGCGCCTTCACTCTTTCTGCCTTCCGTCTTCTCCACGCTTGGCGGGCCATTCCCACGGACTTTGGTGCCATGGATCGTCAAAATAAAGCAACGGGTGGCAGCGGCCTCTTCAGTGGGAATATGAGCAGCGGTCCGGGTGCTAGCGGTACCAACAGCCCAAGGCCCTATCAACAACAGCAGCAGCCTCCCCCTCCTCTGCACTCGCGCCCGCGGGACATGCCCGTGGGGGCACCCCCTGTGTATCAACGTGAGTATGAAATGTTTGCATATCGAGAATGAAGGGATGCACTAGTACCATAAATCTCGTCGAAGAGCTTTCGACGCGCAGAGAAAATGCATGGCGGAAGAAAGGGAGGGAGTTGCCACGGCCTGCTTCGTCCATCTTGAATGCCGATGCAACAAACTTCAAAACATGCGATGAGCCTTTTTGATCATTTATTGTGAAACTTGCACCAATTCATCCTTATCCCACAGGCCCTTCGCTGACAGGCGCGGGCCTTTTCACATCCGCAGGGGGCGGGATGGCAAGCCTCTTTGCCAACCCAAACTCCTCTCTCCCCGCAGCGTCCAGCAACTTCCAGGGTTTATACTCTGGGAGCAACGCTCACCTTATGAACAACAACGCGAGCAAGCCCGGGCAGGATTGGCACCGTGGTCTCCCCCCTCCTTCCTACTCTCTCCCCTATAATGCTCCGAGCCCCGCTTTCCCCGGTCGTCCCTCCATGCCCCCGTCCCACGCAGCATTGATGCAGAACGCCCTGGTCTATCTGGAGCTCGTGCAACGCACCTTTGCGCACCAGCCCGACATATACGCCTCCTTTCTGAGCGTGATGAGGGAGCACAAGGAAGGGCGCCGGGATACCCCCAACCTCTGTGGGCAGGTCTCGCGCTTGTTCCAAGGGCAGGATTCCCTACTCCGAGGCTTTCAAGACTTTTTGAGCGGGATCCACGCCGTCGATCCGCCCCTTCCTTCCCCAGCCCCATCGGTCCCGGGGCCGGCGTCCTTCCCGCACTCCATGGGCCATCCCTCAGGGTATCGGGGATGGAACGCACGCCCCTCCGCCCCGCCCTCCCACCCTCCCTTCCTGCCCGGAGGAAACGGGACCCGGCCCCCCCTGCAGACCGGTGTGACGGAAGGGGGAGGGGAGGCGAAGGAGGACGTGAGCATGGAGGACGCGGTCCTGTACATGGACCGGGTCAAGTCCGCCTACGCCGACAAGCCCGAGGTAGGCCCCTCCCTCCCTCCCGCCCTCCTCTCCTGCCTCCCTCCCTCCCTTCCGCCCTCCTCCCCTGCCTCCCTCCCTCCCTTCCGCCCTCCTCTCCTGCCTCCCTCTGTGCTCCCCCCCGTGCTCCCTCTTTGTTTGTCCTCCCAGCCCGACATCTGCCCAGAGTGCGTTCCCTATTGATGCCTTCCTCTCTCTCTC